TAAATTTTTTTCTTTTAGAGGAGAGAGAGAGAGAAAGAGAGAGAGAGAATTTTAATATTTATTTTTTAGTTCTCGGCGGACACAACATCTTTGTTTTGCATGTGGTGCTGAGGATCGAACTCAGGCCGCACGCATGCCAGGCAATCGCGCTACCGCTTGAGCCACATCCCCAGCCCATGTTTTTGTCTTCTATCTCAGTGAAAAAGTTAGTTTTTCACTGTAACAAATGAAGAACTATGAGTTTGATTCACAATTTTCCCAGGTATTCTGATAGATTTCCCAAGAAATTTTAACCAGGTATGTTATCAAGGTAAATGAAAATGAACCCACTTATGATTGCTCAAGTAAATCTGTTCCAGTGTTATCTTCCTGAGAACATCATTGCAACTAAAAATACTGTGAGAATTGAACTACTTGGAGCTGCATTATTACATCCGAACCCAAGTCATTATCTTATCCATGGAAATTCCTACAATATCCTGGGAAAACTCTATCACAGTATTTCTGACTTTGCATTGTTATTGGTTGTGTGTCTATCTTTCCAAGAATGATTCTTAAGCCTTACATTGGACCAACACTGTCACCACAAATTTAAAACCCACTCAGTCCTTCTATACCCATTATTTCAGAGTGTCAGGATAAGAATGCAGTATGTATTCCAGGTGGGCTTCCTCAAAACAAGGACTGGCAAATCATAGGCTATATTTTCCATTGCTTTGTAGGTCCAAATGGGGATAGTATATATGTTAATGAAGACATGGAGGTAAAACAAACAAATAAACAAACAAAAAATGACAACAACAACAACAAACAATGAGAAAAAAACCTATCAGGTAACTTAACTATCTTGATTATGGAATGCCACATCTAAGCAGGGTGAATTTAAAGAAGTTAAAACAACATGAACAGTAACTATGAACATGTCCATGAATCTGTAAGCAGATATAGGGATGAGGGTTGAAATTAAGCTGGATTTCCTCTCTGTATTGTTTCTCCCACATGACCAAAGCTTGTTGATAAAGACTTGCTCTGATCTTTGTTGGCTGCAAGTTACATGGATCATTTTTCTTAAATGATTTGTGATGTCTTAGGTACACCTGGAAGACCCTATTTAGGAGATCCATGTGGCCGTTAGTCTGGGGTTGTTAATGTGTGGGTATTGAATATAATACATAGACTTAGGTTTGAAGGACTCTGAAAAAGACTCTTCAGATTTAAGACAAATATCATTGTCTCCATTTTGATATCCCATGGCTCAGCCTTTTAGTGTGACAGAATGACCATCGGAAAGTTAAGAAACCACAGGCAAAGAACTATATTATTTTCATGAAAAAAATCATATGCTTAGTAATATATATATATATATACACATATACAGACTTGAGAGGGAACAGTTTCATTATGGAGTTTAAGGTGATGGGTTTATTTTTATTTTTTTTAATATTTTTTTAGCTGTCAATGGACCTTTATTTATTTGTATCTGGTGCTGGGAATCAAACTCAGTGCTTCACACATGCTGGGCAAGTGCTCTATTAGAGAGCTACAACCCCAGCCCAGGTTATGGGTTTCTAGAAACTTTAGGGGACTGGATAACTGGGGTGTTCCTTTTTTCTACTATGGCATAATAAATGACCTCAACCTTAGTGATGAATGAACAAGTATTTTATAATGTCCCTGTGGGTCAGGAATTCAGATAGAACACAGTAGGGATGTTTGTGTCAGCTCCATAATGCCCTCATCTGGAAAAACTGAGGGTGACAAAAATGTCTTAGAATTGGAATTATTCAGAGGTTCTTTGTTCAAAACATCTGGTAGCTGGGCCAGAATGATTCTGAGACTATGGACCAGAATGCTTCCATGTAGCCTTCCATTTGGCTTGTGTTGCCTCAGTGGATGGTGGCCTTAGGATACTCAGTATTTTTTACATGGTGCCTTAGGGATCAGAGTATTTCAGAAAACAAGGTGAACTCTTCTTGGCCATTCGCATCTAATTCCAGCAGTCAATGCAGCATCATTTCTGCTGCACTCCATTGGTCAATACAGTCAGAACCCACTCAGATTCAAGCGGAAATATTTAGGTTCCATTTCTCAATGATGGCAGCTTCAAAGAAACTGACATTTAAAATCTGTCACAATGAGTATCATAGCCTCTTATGATCCTCAGGAATCCTTTTGGACCGGGGACATGTCCTCATATATATCTGTATCATGCAAGGCCTCCTGCCAAATTTGAGGATACCAGGAGGAATTTAGTGGACGGTGCAAGTGCGTAACACAAAGTTCCTTTGTGCACAAAAATATATAGAAAGCCATGACAGGGGGCTGGGGTTGTGGCTCAGTGGCAGATGATGGTTGTGGCTCACTCGCACATGTGAGGCACTGGGTTCAATCCTCAGCACTACATAAATTTAAGTAAACAAAATAAAGATATTGTGTCCATTTATAACTAAAAAATAATGAAAAACAAATTTAAAAAAAAAGCCATGACAGTTTAACAGTTTAGCAGGCCTCTTGCATATTCTTTCCTTCTGGAGCTGGGAATACATAATTCTAAATCTTCTGGTTCTCTCTGCTAGTCATAGATTATTGCCATCTTCCTTCCTTTTTCTTTCTTTTTTCTTTTTGGTACTGGAGATTGAACCCAGAGGTGCTTAACCAACCTCATTTTATTTTGAGACAGGATCTCACAAGCTGCTTAGGGCCTCACTAAGTTGCTGAGGCTGGATTTGAACCTGCAATCCTCCTGCCTCAGGCACCTGAGCCACTGTATTATAGGCATGTGCCACCATGCCTGGCTTCTTTTTCTTTTTTTGAGGTAGTGTTTCCTTACTCCTGGGTTCAAATGATCCTCCTCCCCAGTACCTGGGACTACAAGCATGAACCACCACACCTAACTTGTCATGTTTCTGACACACAAGTCTGATTCTTTTACTTTCATATTGTCTCCAAGATAAAGTCCAAGGCCACTTGCAGCATAATAAGCTCTTTTTTGATCTGGTCCTGACCACTAGAAACTCAGATTCTATGCTGTAGTTCAAAATATGAACAACAGCACAGTATAATGACTGAGTTCAAATCTGAGCTCTGGCAGACCTAATTTTCTGGAGTGCAAAGGACAACCTTTCTTCCATCAGTTGAGGACAGTCTACAATAAAAATGGCCTAATTTCTACTGGTTTCTCATTTCATCAGTTCTCAAGGGTCTAAGCCTCCATATGGATTCTAATTCAGGAGTCAATTCTCCCCTTTGACCCTTGACCCTCTGTATAGATGCCAGTCTAATAGTCCTGACTCATTTAACCCTCACGGTAAATTGTTTCTCAGTGGCCTCATCATTTTGGCTGGTCTGTCTCATCTTGCCCAGTGTCTCTAAGTCCATCTCACACATTTTAGTAATTCTCAGTCTCAAAGCAGTGAAGAAAGGATTAAGAGGCCCATTGTTCACAATGTCTCTCTCTCTCTTTTTTGAGCCCAGAGCCCACAGCATGATAGGCAAGCACTTTTACCACTGAGCTACATCCCCTCACACCTTTCTTTTCCTTCTCTAGCTTCCACATATGAGAAAATTTAAGCCCCTCAACCTTCTAATTTTGGCTTATTTGGCTTAACATAATGGAAACATTTATATTTAAAAACTACTTGTTTATCTGAAATTAAAATGTAATTTGGTATTTATAATTTTTTTTCTTGCTACATTTGCCAACCATCTTTTTTAGGTTTATAAAATTAGGATTATAAAGTAAGAACTAGTATAGACTGAAGACTAAATGTGTTTCTTTCTTTCTTTTTGGTACTGGGGATTGGACCCAGGGGTGCTACATACCACTGAGTTATATGCCGCTTTCCCGTGGCCAACCCACCCCCCCATCTTTTTTGAGACAGGGTCTCTCCTTAAACTGCCCAGGCTGGCCTCCAAATTGTAATCTTCCAGCTTTAGTCTCCAGAGTAGCTGGGATTACAGGCCTGTGCTATGGCATGGCATATTTCTTTCTTTCACTAAGTTATCTAACCACTGTTATTAACTGAAATACCTGGGTGAAGGGTAAATTTAAAGAACTCCTTCCATTTCCTTTACAGCTAAATATCAGGTTATTATTGTTGCTGTCTTCAGTATTTACATTGTTATAGAGTGACTATGAGATAGTGTCATCCACTGCAATGGCAATAATTTCCTTGTTAAATTCCTACAACAGAAAGATGTTGCAAGTTCTTCAAATCAGACTTTTAAAATTAAACTACATTTATAGCAGACTTTCAGGCGGAGGAAGGAAAGCAGCTGAAACAAGGACACCTATTTATTCGATAATCCTTTAAAGTCGGACTGTTAATCCTGGAAGACGATTGAAATATTAATTTCTATCATTAAGTCCTCTCATTGACAAGAAAGAGCCTTTTTAAAAATCTTACCACTACAGTCGTCTTTGTGTCAGCCATAATCAGGCTAATCTTTCTACCTAATTCTTCTAGAGCGACTCCTATTCTTTTTTTATTTTTGTAAATTTTATTTGGATTAAGAAGAGTGATAAAAGTTCCAACGGGGCGAATAGGTCATACAATCAAAAGCAATCCCTTCCCTCATAACCTCTAGTTCCTGGACAGCGGTTTCTTAACTTGGGTTTAGGACTTTGGCTAAGGAAGGATTTCGATTTGTGAATTCCCTGAATGCATAATTTTCAACGTATGGATTACTGTGTACTTTTCTAGGGAGAGGATCCAAACTTTTACCTGAAACTCAAAAGGATCCGCGTCCAAGAAACCCGATACAGAATTTTGCTGAAGGACTCGAGTGATTCAGAATGGAGGGTTAAAAACTTGTAATAGTTTATCCCTGGGCAGAGTCTCGCATCTACCCTCATCCCAGGCCCCTCAAAAAGTAGGATGTGTGTGGGAGGGACGTTGCTCTTTCTTCCCAAGTTTTCCGCCTGCCGCATTCCTTCCCTCCAGCGCATCGGCGTGCGCTGACGTCATGACGCCGCACACGCAGTCCCGCCCCTGCAGAGATCGGCGCTGGGACGGAACCCGGGTTCCTCTCAAACCCGGAATGTGAGGCTTCGCCCCGGTTGTCTGCTGCTCCCTGTCCCGCTCTCTACCCGCGCCTGCGTCTGCTGCCGCTTCCCTGCAGCTAGCCCCCTAGGAGCCAGGGCTGCCGTGCCCTTCTACCGTGTGCCCGCGTGGCTGCCACCGCCCCTCCGAATCCTCCGGGGCCGCAGAGGAGTTCGCTACGGAGGGAGGCGGGGGCCTTCGGGAGGAGGAGGCGGAGGAGGCGGAGGAGGAGGGAAGGAAGATGGCGGCCGTGGAACTAGAGTGGATCCCAGAGACTCTGTACAACACCGCCATCTCCGCTGTCGTGGACAACTACATCCGCTCCCGCCGAGACATCCGCTCCTTGCCCGAGAACATCCAGTTCGATGTTTACTATAAGGTACGGACCGCTGGCCTGCTCCGGGCTCTCCTGCCGCAACCTCTGGAGCCGCACCCCCTTCCACGTCTGCGAACCCCCGCAGTTAACCCCTCACCCCTCGTAGCGGGCTAGCCGCCGAGACGTCTGGTACGGTATCCGCGATTCCAATACAGGAAACACCCTCTCTTCTCATCCTCTCTCTCCTAAACTTTAGGGTCTTGATATTTCTTCCTAATGAATGTTACCCCATTTTGGTGTTCCCTTCTACACTGTGGCCCCCTGGAGTAGGCCTTTTGCGTGGACTTCCTCTGTTGCGCCTCTGTCCCATCCTCCTCTTCTATATTTTCCATTCTGTTCTTTCAGTTAAGTATCAGCATCAGCTGGAGTTTTTGCTCTGCTCCTCCCCATCCCTTCTACTTTCTCACCCCATTGCCCTTCTTTCCCAAGTATCTCCCCACCCCCACCCCACCCCCCCCGCCTCGCGTTGCCTCCTTTCTTCTTTTTGATCCCAATTGGAAGGGAGTTGGGTATTGGAAATAGTCTGTGTGCTTTATTTGCATGTACTTTAAAGTTCCGAAATTTTTGGTTGACATTTGGTGTTGAATTGGGGATTTTATTAATATGAGAGTGTTGATCCACTCTTTAAAAAGGAAGGGATGAAATTTCCTGAAAGAAAAAAAAAACTTTAGAAATTTAAATTATGTATTTGAAAGTTGCAATCGTGCAGCATTCCTATGTCGCTCCCCCTCAAAAATCTCTGAACAAAAAGTCTCCAAGGAGTTTCAAGGGTAAGTGTTCTTAGACAATTTTTGCAGTGTTTTCAGAGGGAGGAGAACTTTATGAACTCGGAGCCTCCCTTTTCCTCTGCCCCTCCACATTTGAATGTGAACACTGGATTTATTATTCAGTGCTTGCCTTGAATCAGCATGGATAACCCCTAGTCACCAGTAGCTGCCTCGCAAAATGTAACTAGAAGTAGAATAGGATTTATTTTTTTAAATCTTAAAAAAATAAAATCTTACTTCTTCTTGATTATACTTCTTCTTGATTTGTAAATTGGCTGGAACAGTGTAAACTGATATTTAACAGATGTGTATGTTCATGTATCTGTATGGTGTGTTATGGAAGTTTTATTGGGAAGATTGCCTTCTTTCTCCACCCTCGGAATATTTTTTCAGGATTAGCAGCTGGCATACTGCATTCTGCTAAATCCAGTTTCTTTGTCCTAATTTTAACAATTAAAATGTGTCCCCCCCATTATTTGGAGAAGGTTAATTTTGGCTATGCATATTATTATCTTTGGATTTAGAGGAAAACTTCCGTCCTTTCAAATTCCTTGATACATTGGTTTACTTTTGTATATAGGTAAGGAAATTCTGTTCATTTAAGGTATATTCCTCCCCAAGGACAAATTAGATCTTTCTCAAACTGGACAACTGCAGTTTTGTGAGTGCTGTCTCTGTCCATTTTATTAAATCATGTGTAATCTGGTACACTTTTTAGAGGAAATCACTGGGAATTTATTTTTGCTATTTGAATTTCTTCAAAATATTTGGGCATTTTTAGTAACTTTTACTTTTAATTGAAGGTTTTCCTTTGAAGATTATTATTAGCTGGTATGAACAGATGGTGCTTTGCCACATTTTCTGTCTCACATAGTTCACAAAGTTTTGAAATTGCTTCTTTTTGGTACGCTTTTACTCTTTAAAAAAAAAAAAAAACAAACAACTGGGGATTGAATGCGGGGTGCTTTACCACTATCCTCTACAGTCCTTTGTATTTTTTTAGACAGGGTTTTGCTAAATTGCCTAAATTGGCCTTGAAGTTGCTATACGATTACAGGCGAGTCCCTGGGATTACAGGCGTGCACTTCCATGCCAGTCACACTTTACTCCTTACTGGTTGTATATTATTGTGAATATGGTACTGTGCTAAAGTGAAGGAAGGTATTTGATATGTGCCTGGAACTGTGTTAAGTGTTTTGACCTATATTGTCTTAGCCTCACAATTAAACTGTGTGAAGTAGAGTATGACCCTGTTTTATAGGTGAGAAAGTTAAGTGATTGAGTCAAGTTCTCAAATCTAGGGTTTAGTTTCTGAGTACTTTGCTTTTTTGCTTGGAAAGAATTTGTATCTTCAGGTAGTAGTTTATTTTAATGGAAGATATTATAGAACTAATTTTTTATGAACACCTATAGAAATACAGAGAAAGTCAATCAGTATTCCATTCTTTTTTTACTATTATTATTTTTTAAAATTTTGAGTCAGGGTCTCACTGAGTTGCTTAGGGCCTCACTAATTTGCCGAGGCTGACCTCTAACTTGATGCCTTAACCTTCCAAGTCACTGGGATTACAGGCCTGCACCACTATTCCCAGCTCAGGATTCCATTCTTTAATGGAGATATAAGAAGGATATTTAAATACTGTACTCACACATAAAACATTTTTTAAGCACTTTAAGTCCACACATAAATATAGATACTCATTCCCTTCCCAACTTGTAGAAGTTTTAGAAAATGAATTGTTTACAGTTTTCTCCACTTAAGAGCCAAATTAAAAATCAGATCTCTTCTATAATCCCTAGTTCCATCAGTAGGCATAGTCATAGACAAAATACCGTATTATTTTTGGAATAAAAAATTTCCATATGTTCAGATCTGGGGTTGTGGCTCAGTGGTAAAACGCTTGGCTGCATGTGTGAGGCACTGGGTTCAATTCTCAGAACCACATATAAATAAATGAAATAAAGGTCCATTGATAAATTAAAAAATATTTTTTAAAATTTCCCTCTGAGGGGGAATATCCCTGTGTGTGTGTGGTGGTTTTTTTTTTTTTAGTTGTAGATGGACACAGTACCTTTATTTTATTTATTTATTTTATGTGGTACTCAAAATCAAGCCAAGTACCTCATTTGTGCAAGGCAAGCGCTCCACCACAGACCCACAATTCCAATCCCCCTATTTTTTTTTTTTTAATATTGTATTCTTAAGTTTTAGGTGGACACAATATCTTTATTTTACATTTATGTGGTGCTGAGGATCGAACATGCAGTGCCTCTTGCATGCTAGGCAGGCAGTCTACCCCTCAGCAATAATCCCAGGCCCCCCCCCCCCATATTTTTTTAAAAATACATTTTTTAATATTTATTTTTTGGTTGCAGTTGGACACAAAGGTATTGTACCTTTATTTTTTTATTTATTTTTATGTGGTGCTGAGGATTGAACCCAGGGCCTCACACATGCTAGGCTAGCGCTCTACCACTGAGCCACAACCCCAGCCCTGAAAATATTTTTAGTTGTAGATGGACACAATACCGTTATTTATGTTTACATGGTGCTGAGGATCAAACCCAGTGCCTCACACATGCTAGGCAAGTGCTCTACCACTAAGCTACCCCAACCCCTCCCTATGTTCTTGATTGGTGTATTCCAATGTCACTATATTAATTTTGGTCAGTAGTTTCAGATGAAGGCATAGTAGCAAAATACTAGTAGAGAAGGCTGTGCAATGAATAGAAAGTCAAGAAATAGGAATGTTGACTGCTCCTGAAGAAGGGAAGGGAGAGAGATAAAGAGAGATTGAATATACTAGTTAGGCAGAAAATAGATTAAGGAGCAGAAGCATTAAATAATGAGCCTTGGAGCTTTTTGGTCTTTCCTCTTTCATCATTCATAAATTAAGGAATTAGTCTTAAATTGACATTGGGGAAAGAAATACATCTTTTCTCTGAGAACAGAAGGAAAGAGTTAACAACCAGGGTATAGAGGTAAGTTTGCAAAAAATGATTGTCACAAATTTGGAGGTATCATACTATGTACCAAAATGAATTCCACATGAATTGAAAGATTTAAATATGGCTATTGAGGGCTGGGGATGTGGCTCAAGCCATAGCGCGCTTGCCTGGCATGCGTGCGGCCCGGGTTCGATCCCCAGCACCACATACAAAGAAAGATGTTGTGTCTGCCGAAAACTGAAAAATAAATATTAAAATTCTCTCTCTCTCTCTCTCAATAAATAAATCAATAAATAAATAAATATGGCTATTGAAACCTTGGAAGTGTTAGAATAAATTATTGGGTCAGTATATTTTACAGTGGGAAATGGCTGAAATGTCTTCTTGAAAGTTTTTTTTTTTTTTTTTTTTTTTTTTTTTTTTGTACCAGGATTGAACCCAGGGGCATTTAACCACTTATCTACATCCCAGCCTTTTTAATTTTTTGGGACAGGGTTTTTCTAAGTCATTGAGGCTGGCTTTGAATTTGCTGTCCTGCCTCAGCTTCCCGAGTTGCTGGGATTACAGTCATGTACCAGTGTGCCCAGCTTTGAAACAAATTGTTTTTAAGGTAATTTACAAATTATAAAAATGTAAAGCATTTTTAAAAATTTATAAAGAGGTGAATACCTCTGCTACTTATCTTGCCAACATTGTACTGCCATCTTGGTATGGAGAAGACTTTTCTAAGCATGAAACCAAAAACCAGGAGGGGAAAATAAAATTGATACTTTTTAATACTTTTTTTTAAAAATAGGTGGGATTTAACAGGTAAAAGACAGCTTTCCTAATACAGAAAGATCAAATCAGTATGAAAAAGGCAAACTACCTCATGTCCAAAGAACTTGAACTGGCTATCTTATATGAGGAAAAATGCTCAGTAATCATCAAAGGATGCACAACTGAAATGCAGATTCAAATGCCAGATCAAGCCAAGGGAGTCAAAAAGATGAAAGAACAAAATCTGTGGGACTTACACCACCAAATACCTAGCAGTAATACTTTCAAAAGTATGAAAAAAAGATTAAGATAGTATAGTATTGGCAGTGAAACAAAAATAGTTCAGAAAAAGACTGATATGTAGACTGTCATTTGCTTTATGATAAAAGAGACATAGTACAATGGGGAAAGGAAGGTCAAAGAAATGGTGTTGGTCAGTTTGGTATCTGTGAGGAGAGAAAAGGTATCTTAATCTTACCTCACACCATATACAAAAATCATTTCCAAATGAATTGCTGATATAAATGT